GGGGGGAGGGAATTGCTCCATTCTAACTGAAATATCTGGAAAACTTATGTGCACCAAACTGTCAATACATAATAACCAAATTTTTGCCCCCCCCCCTCCGTTCTCTATCTCCACCCCTCCCCCAAGGCTGGACCAGGAAACGGCCATGAGACTCGAAGCTCAGGATGTCCAAAAGTCCCTCAGGAACAAGATTGACTTCCAAGACCAGCTGCACGCCCAGGTCAGTTTTACGATTTAAGTTCAGTCGGCAGTCGACGGTTTGCTGACAATTTGTTGACTTGCCCTGACAATTTTCTGTGCACAAAATGCAGATCCTGGGTACCGGGCAAAATTTACTGAGTACTGGCCACTGATCAAACTTGCCTTGAGATGGTCTAAACGTGAAGCATTTTGGGTCCTTCACGCCACAAAGAATTTACTGAGTTTTAATTACGTATTTCCTGTATTAATGAAAAAGGCAAGAGAAAGCTCTGACACACAGCAAAACACCGCAAACACTAATTTGCAAGAATCGTTCTCAAGCCGTGTTTATACAAAGTAGATCTTACCGAAACTTCACAGTTTTCATCACTCTGGGGTGCCACCACCAGAGCGATTTTTCCTATCAGGCCGTGGATAGTGGCGGAGATAAAGATCAGCACATTTTCCGTCTTCGCCGACTATTTGGGAATAGAGGCATGCTTGACGTTTTAGCCATCAGCCACGACGATGCAGACAACCAGATCGTGTTTTATACACATTCTCTGATGCAGAGTGATTTATTTCTTCAGCTCTTTCCAGGAAAAAGAGATGCAGGTGTATTGAGATGTAAGTGGATCTGTTAACAGTAAAATGACCGGCAGAAGGTATTTACTGTCCTCGTTCTCTGTCCAATTCCAGGAATTGAGCGAGAGCAGGAATCGACTGGACGAGAAGGCCAACCACATCTTGCAGCTGGAGGCCAAGATTCGCGAGCTGAGCAAGCCGGACAACTCGCTGCACGAGGCGCTGCAGAAGGTCCGCGACGCGGCCACCGCCGAACTCCTCAAGTACAAGGAGGAATCCGAAGCCGCTTACCAGAAAAATGTGAGTAACTGACTGATGTCTGCACTTAAATCAATTTTCATTATGTCTAACAAGAGATCAACCCGATTAGACGCCCTAACTGCGGTGGCATTGCACTCACACGCACATTCTTCAGCTTGATACGCGCAACCTTTCTGCAAATCACAACACCCTATTGGTCCAAGAGGCACGTAATGCGCACATACCACCTGTCCTAGAGCATTGTGGCGCCGCAGTAATGACTTCCAGGTATGGTTGTCGATTTACGCTATAGGTGCCATTCACAATACAGTGCGCCACCAAGGGGTTGCCCGGGACGGGCCATTTTTCAAGTTTATGATCCACAAATGCTTGGTCGCCTTGCTGCAGTTTGTGTCGCCGCAATGTCAGTAGAGAACTTGGGGAAATTTTGACGGAGGACAAGCAACAGAAAGAATCGGGATTACTTGAGACTATTACTTGAAGTAAACTCACAAATCTTCTTTCCTGACAAGCAAACATCGGGAATAATTCAAGTTCCGGATCCCCCCCTTAAACAGCATGTGGATATAATTTGTCAACCATTTCCCCACAATACATTGCTGAAAATGGCAACCTCTCGATGGTATGATGTGAAACGAATCACTCACTTATTGACTGTTCTGATCTGGGATGTGATTATTTAATGCTGAAAAGAGTCATTGCACCCGAGGTGAAGGTGACGGTCCAATGTTTCCCTGAGGGTGTTCAAACATCATGTCTCACATCACAGCAGTCAAGAATGAGGGTAATATATGTTTTTATCAACCGGTCGCTTGATCTCTTGGCCAGTATACTGAGGCATAACAAATAGCACCTGTGATCGTGTAGTCACTAGGTCCGTCATTTTGCCACCCATTGTCAAATCAGAATGGTGGCAAAATAATGGACCTGGTGGCTACTTGGTCATGGATATTACATCTATTAAAAGCAAAACGGTGGAGTGGGGTTGTGAAAATTATCTGGAATGTTTTCAAAGTGTCGCAAGTTTCTGCATTTTTTTTGGTGGTTTTCAGTTGCAAGAATTGCAGGATCAGATGAGCCGGGATGCCAACAACATTGACAGATTGTCATCGAGCAACAAGCAGCTCGCTGGCCAGATTGAAGACCTCAAGAACCAGATACATTCGCTGCAAACCAAGGTGAGATATGAGCCAGGGCTGGAAAGGACTTGTCACCAACTTTGAGCATGGTATTCCGGTCAGGCCGATGATAACACCACGTTAATTTAATTTCCAATTGGGCACAGGCCCCACCCAAAGAACTCTACTGTCCTAAGGCCAATCTTTACGAAACTTAATAGGCGCATAGACAGAGCCATTATAAATATATCTGTGTTGTTTCAATTCAGTGAGACTTGAGGTTTGTTTTCGTGGTCATTGATAATCCACTCTTGCATTTGTACCGGCCTGTATGAATACATTTAGCATGTGTCAATTTAAAGTTAACGTATTCAGGGAACCTGAAAATTGCTGCCGCCGGGGGCCCGGGGTCGAATCCAGCTCAGTCTACAAGTGGATTGGGTTTTCAGTCCCTACCTGAGTCCATGGGTTTTCCCTGAAACATTTAAGTGGGGTTTTCCTCCCACCTCTAAAACTGAACATTTCTTTATTGTCTTCTTCACTCATTGGCATCCTGTGATTCATGCTAAATGCGCTCTTGGATGATCAGATATAAATAGAATAGGATATAAATAGAAACAAATGCATGGTCATGACATTGGACAAAATTCACACATTGGCAGATTCAGTCGAATTCAGCTCAATTCAATCCAGCTTTAATTCATTTGGTGCGATTTAGTTTGCCTGAGTGAAATTTGATTTCCTTTTTGTTTTTAGCTCGTATCTACTGAGCAGCAGAACCGCAACCTGACGGACCGGATGACCCAAGAGAGGGAGGGGTCGGCCGCCCACATCCGGGCCCTGGAGGGCAAACTCTGCGACATGCAAGACAGCCTGGTGCAGAAGATGCGGGAGATCACCTTGGCAACAGACGCCAAGCAACCGATCCGGGCGGAGATTGAAGCGCTGAGAACGTTAGTCGAGGATGAGGAGCGAAAGTAAGGGGCTTAAGCACCAAGTGAATTTTTGAGGCTTCCATGTAAAAATTGGCATTGCTTACTGGGTGAATGGTTAGAAATATAATTACATTGTTTCTGAATCAATCAATTGTGGCCAGGTGTGCCACAATTTATCATTTACCAGAAAACCTGAGTTCAGCCGACTGAACTCGCGATTTTAGCCAGGTGATACTAGGCTTTTGAGCATCTCCATTATCAGCAACTGTACTGACCGAGAGGGATTTTGTTTATACTGTTAAGTGCCAGACCAATTAAGAACAATTACCATCGCTCGTCTGAACATCGTGTGGGGTATGCCTTTGGTCAACTTGGTGAAGTTAATATCTACAATAATGTATTTAATTTTGTGCAGTTGTAAAAACGACATTTTCCAGTTTTACTTACTTAAAATTGGTGCGCTAACGACCTAGTTAGTGCAAAACCTGATTCTTTGAAGTTGGCTGTAAATGCTGAAACTTGGCGTGAGTGACCAATACCCCTTAATTGGCAGATCTGGAAAATACATTTCAGATTTCGTACACAAAAAGCTGCATGGGGTGGGTTTTTTACCCACAAATTCTTCAACCTTGCGATTGTTCTTTGACCCAACCAAGCAGGACGCATTAATACGTTACCGTGGCAATGGTAAAAGAATTTTTATATAAATGTACACGTCCTCCGTGGAACAGATAAAGAAAAGTATGTGTGTTTACTCGTCATCCGGCATCAAGTGGTTAAGGAGAGTGGAATGGCCACCCGCAGTGTTGAAAGGTTAGGTAGATAATGTCGCCTTCCCTGCTACCAGAAAATAAAAGAGAACAATGCAAGGCTGTTTTTTTAACCAAATGCTGCCTGTAGCCCGGTTTTGGGCATATAGGCTTTATACAGGAAACCAAGGAGCCCGAAACCAGACAAAAGAGCTAGGCTTTATAACAAAAGACCGTACTCGGAACAAAAGACGGAGATGCTAGGAATTGCTAATATTTTTTCAGTTGTCAAAAGAAGAGGAAACCCGCCATTTTTTTGAACGATTATACCACTGTTGGTGGCAATCAGAGTGAGCAGATTACCACCGGGGACGAAAGCGCTCCAGTGATGAGCGATACAATACCGCTGCACGCTAATCTGGCCCCTGTTGAAAAGACCACGGTTTTACGTCAGGCAGCTTTAAATTCCACCGGCAGCAAGTGGTTAACAGTGAAAGTTGCCCTGTGAGTGATGGAAATTTGCCGCAGCTTTAAGGCTTTTAAATGGACGCATGTTATTTCCGAGCAACACCTTCAGTTTTTGGACAAAAACACAAGTTATTCACTTATCTGTTTTTCCAAATGGGAATTTCATTCTAGACTAATGAATATCACCGGCGACCCCATACGTCGCCCGATATCCCTGCCTGCTGCCCTGCGCTCCAACACTCCGGCGATGGCCTCGCGCAGCTCGACAGTTCCGAGGTCCACCTCACCAATGAAAGGATACGACAATACAACGGGGCTGTCTTCGAGTGTAACACAGCTAAGTCCAAGAGGTAAGCCTTGCGAGACTCTTTAACAAGTCCCAGAAAAGTGCAATTCCTCATCTTGACCAGAACAACATGTGTTTGCTGTACCCTGGCATGGACCCCAAACATGGCCTTCTTGGGGTTTTTTTGCCTCAAGTGCCTTGCTTGTGCCATATTTTTGCCTCAGCCTTCACAATAAGTTCCCAGCATTCCCATTCATAAATTAAATACCCTCTACAAAGTTCCAGTGAAAGTCTATTTTGGCTTATCTTTGTATCCTTTGTTTTTTTTTGAAATTGCAAAATGAACTCTCTTGAAATGTGCCCTAAAATTAGAAACCATTTTTTTTTACACCCCAGAAGTCAGGTATGTGAATGGAGGTAACACTGATTTATTGGAATTTATCCGTTGTAAAGAAATTATTTAATGTTAACATTTGGTTTTCTGAGATTTGTTCAAGTGCGCCATGTTAGGGAACATTCGGCTTTCGTGCCCAATCTCCAGACGCCACACTTTTTCACTTTCAGACTAAGCTTTCTGACACTGAAATTCTTTACAAAGGTTCAACAGCGTCACTGGTACCAGTATGTAATAAGTCAGTGAATTTAAAGTTTTAAACAAAGAGGTTTTCGGAAACACTGCTTGAGGAAAGTCGAGGGAAATGTCCAAGTATTGGGAAACCCCACTGCACACTGTTTGAATAAACCCCAGGCGTCTCATTAGTAGGCCATCAGCAGGGTCATCAACTGACTCCAGCGAAATCAGTATTTGTGGCGTTCAGCTGTAAATGCAAAAGTTTGCTGCAATATCTAGTTTTGGCATTTTTGAAGGCCGAACTGTCCGCAAGCAGTATATATTCCTGTAGACCACTCTCAGCATGTCTACAACTTGTATGGGTGGTCAAAGCTAAATACATACATGTAAATATCATCTTTTGGTTGGTTTTCGATTTTACCTCAAATTGATTAAAAATGGACATTTCTTCCCTTGACTTTCAAGAGGATTGTGCGTTCATGTAGTAGTATTTGTATATATATATCTGGTATTCTGATAGCTGTGTGGGATGGTTAACCCCTTCACGCCGGTAATTCTTTTGACCGTGACTGCTGGGCTGTGGTATGCCCTGAATGGAGGGCTTTGTCCAGCAGCAGGCCCCATTGAACCAGCAGCTGCATGGTGAATAGACTGTATGTGTGGTATGCACTAATCCTCACACAAAGCCGCGACTCTTGCCGTCTCCTGGAGCGAAGGGGTTAATACTCTTGTCTCGTTCTTTTAATTTTGTACCGACGGCCAACCATATGTTTAGCAGCCAGTTGTGGGGATAACTCGACTGTGACGTCAAAAGAGCAGACCCCATTCAGCCTGAATGCTGACATTTTGCTTTCACTCTGTGGTTTTCTCGTTCTTAATTACTAGCTACCAGGCGGCCGGCATCCGTTCCCGTCTCCACCATGGGGCAAGGCAAGGACTACTTTGACTCCATGTTTGGGGACCTCCAGAAGAGTGCCAGTATCTACCCCCGCCTTCATCCCAAGTCCAGCCCCCCTGTGAGGCTGGCGTCCACCACCCACGATTACACGACTGCGACATCAAGGTAATATACACGCCCTCAACCGGTCGAGTCTGGGACATTGTTTGACCCAATCCAAATTACCGTGTATCCACATTCAAATGTAAAGGCACGGTTATTTTTGGCGTGAAATTATAGGAGAACTGGACTTCGTTACGTATCATCAGCATGATGGGGGAAGAAATGGGGCTACCCTCGCCAAAAAAAAGAGACAAAATGTTTTGGCCTTCAAGTGCAAAGAGACAAGGACTAGTTTTTGGAGCATTGGCTTTCCTTCCATAATTGCGTAAAATGCGTCGGACTTTAACGTTACCAACACCATGAATCAAGAGGCCATGTTGACATGAAACAGTGTTAAATATCTGTCCCACTGTTGTCTTTGAGTTCATCACAACGGACAGGGACTTGTGATGGACTTACAGGGACTTGCTGGGACTTGTGACGGACTTACAGGGACTTGCTGGGACTTGTGATGGACAGGGACTTGCTGGGACTTGTGATGGACAGGGACTTGCTGGGACTTGTGACGGACTCCAATACAACTCTGTCTGCCCCCCTCTCTTAAAAAAAGGACGTATCGAATTCCCCAAACTTTATTTCTTTTTGGTAAGTTTTCAATCAAGCCAGTATGGAAACTGAATAGATACTCAAAAAGTGTCATGAAGATGACCAAGGAAATTGACTCGAGTAGGATTCGAATCTGCGACCCCCAGAATGTCATACCAATGCTCATCCAACTGAGCTACCCTGCCCTGTTTGGCAGTTTGTCATGTTCGACAGTCTATGTGACCCGTCACCACAAATGACCTGAAAGTTGGAATTTTCAAAAATTGAGATATTGGTATTTTTTAATTCAGCAGATAGAAAGAAAGCTTCCCTATCGTTTGTACATAGAACACTTAGGGTAGAAGTATAAGTTGACAATGTGACATTATTCTGGCCGCTTCGTGTCTTTGTTCCCGACATTGTTTCAACATTTCTGACCAGGAACCAATGATGCTGTCATCAAAATTGCTGAGAAAATGATATTTTTAAATATATGATCCTGTGAAATATTTGGAATTAAATAGGAGACGGGTCACTTTTTCTAAATATTAAAAAACTCAAAATTGACCTCCACTTCAACATGACTTAGAACCCTCAAAATAGGAAGGAGCGGGATGTGACTTTACTCTCATTTTGTCATGATGGGCCACAAATATATATTTTGAATGCTTCATTGAATAGCTCTACGGGCGCAATCAAAATCCTGGAGGTGAACGAAGACGGTCGCTTCGTCCGTCTCTTCAACACTTCACCACGAGACGATCTGGAGATCGGAGGCTACATGATCCAGCAGAACATTGGCGGGCATCCGGTGGCCGTCTATCGTTTCCCCCCACGGACTCGCTTCAGGGCTGGCTCAACTATAACGGTGAGAGATTTCTCTGAGCTTAAAAAAGTGATGGAAGCAAAATTCCTTTGTAGGGCTCATATAGTCCTCAAAAGTCCTCGAACGTGAAACATATTTTTTCAAGGCCTTGAAAATTCTGGATTTTGTCAGAGGTCCTTCAAAATCTTTGGAATTCACTTGTTTAATGATAAAATTATTACTTTTCATGGAGTTCCAAAACTGTCGAACAGAATAAATTGACTGCCTACTTTCACAGGTCACTTAGATGGGGAAAAATTCATCGTCAGTATAGTGAATCCATGCCCTGCGATGAGCCAGACTTCGTACTTACAAATCAAATGGTCCTATAACAGTTGATATGTATACAAGTCTCTGATAAACCATCAATGTTTCTTGATTTTGGTCCTTGAAAATGGGATTTCTGGACCATGAAATCCTTGACTTTAAGAGCTGTTCCACATTCACGAGCCCTGCATTTCGGAAAAATGTACCGTCTTCTGAAAACAAAAACGCAGCCTTGCGTTATCCCATTTAACCAATCCTCCCATTACCATGGTAACACAAATGTCTCCAAGGCCAGTACATATTTGGCGAACGACTTCGAACATGAATGCAGATTTTTTATTAATTGCACTGACAAATTTGCAAAAGTTGAAGATGTTTCTACGTGAGCCAGATTTTGCTCCATCTGTTTTGTGAAGTCAATATCGGCATTCGTCTAGGAAATATGAACAGCGTCCAGTGTTCACTTTTCATATCGCTGCCTTCAGATCTGGTCTGCTTCCAGTCTGGCCCAGCACAACCCGCCCACAGATTTTCTTTGGAAGGAGCAGAACAAGTGGGGCACCGGACCGGAATGCACCTCCATACTGTGCAAGCCGAATGGCCAGGTAGGACAAACCGACAACTAGCAGGTTTTTTTTTCAAACGGCACTTTAATATCTTCCAGCAATTTTTTCGTGATTTCCATCACAAGTCCCTGCAAGTCAGTGGCATAGTCTAGGGGTTTCACCCATTCAATCAAAGGGGTCGTTTGTAGTTCCTTCCGTGCTGCTCTATTGTTATTGCGGAGAGTTAGTCTTAGCATATCCTGAGCGGTTTCCACCGTGTGCAAATATGAGACTTCGTGCTGCATACCATTTTGGTCACCACACTCAAGTTATCACTGATTATCTGTGTGCAATAGCCCGTAACTTCATCGCAAGACAAATTGTGGACATGGGTGTCGCAAGGGGGCGGGGAAGAAGGGTGCTTTCCCCCCTCCCCCCGGAAAAAAAAGGGAGAAAGGAAAAAGCATAAGAATTTTTTTTTTAATTAGACAAAACGGAGTGAAAATCACCAATTTGCTTGAGCAAAACTCAGAATTGATCATGTGTTTCCTCCCTCCGTGGAAATTCACCCCATCCCCCAAAATAAGTAATTTTCCCTCCCCCCGAATCATGCTGGCGATGCCCACGGTCATGCACTCCTTTAGGAATTTGTTGATAAGGTGTACTTTACATTCTTTCAGTTTCTTCTGTGTTACTCAACGCATCTTTCGAAATGAGTATCATCGATCATTTCCTTCAACAAGACAGCACGCCAGAAGAAATAAATTTACAGAAATAGTGCCGTTACTGTCAAGAGTATCATTTTTGAGGTTTATTTGTCGGTTGAATTTTGGATAGCTGCCAATGATTAACCCTAGCTTTCAAGTCCAATAGCTTTTTAACGTTACTTGCAGGCCATTGCATGGACCACGGCTGCGCACCGCTTCACCAAGACGGCCAAGAGCTTCGACGCGGCCAGCGAGAGCTCCGGAAGCCAATTAGGCGACACCCACGATGAGGATCTCGGGGAGTCGCAACCTCATCCCGAGATAGAGGTTGAGATTGATGGGCGACCAGTGACTGCACTGAAGAGGTATGATTGTACTGTAGTTATGCTCGGGGACGTTTCTACTGAGCCAAAATAACAGCCATTCCTGGCCATTCACTCACCAAGAAACTCACTGCGTGCGGTCAGCTTTTTCTGCGTTTTAGCCTCTGTAGTACGTGAGCCAGCTATCTATATCCTGATTGGTATTTTTTTCACCCTGTGAAATGAAAAGCCAGGCGTGGAACTTGGACTTCGACGAAAACCGAGGAAATTCCCATCCTTACAAGACTTTGTAGAGTGTTTTTCAATTTTCAATGGCAGGAGTGTGAAGTGAAAATGAGAAAATCAGCTGATCTGAGGAAGCGTGGCACGCCTGAAAAACTCACTGTGTAGCAGACAACCTGAGCTATGTGCCGAGCAGCAATCAACACATTTCAACAAATCGTGAAAATCTGTTTCAGAAAAAAATATGCAAAGTCTCACTTTTCCAAACTGCGTGATTTGAAAATCTCGGATACGTTTAGAAACAATCCTCCGTCATTTTTCGTCTACTGCAGAGAAAGAGAGGAGCGTCCATCTTTGTCACCGCCAAAGCACCCTACTGGCCAGTACCCGGGCTCACCAACGCACCCCAGCACGGGTCAGCCGCGCGTCAAGACCCTGGGCAACGACAACAGCAGCTTGTGCCGGCAGACGCGCTCCCAGAACTCCAAACCGGTCCCCGATGTAGTTGGAGGTAGAACTTGCAATCGTTGCTTGCGTGTAGCCTGCTGCATCCCCTAGTCTTGGCCCTAGGTGTTACTTGATATTATTCCAAGACATTGCTATTTGATCAGCAGAGGGCGCAGTTTAAAGGATGATGGCTGCACGATGAGCCAGTTCGGTATTCCAACAGAGCATGCTCAGTACGAGGCTATTCACGAACTTGTGTTAGTCTTTCAGCTGTGCTGATTCACGAGTACTTTTGGCCCAAAAGACCTTGGCCTTTTGGAATACCAAACTGATTCATTATATCAACATCTTAACCCTAACCTGGACACGAGACCAACCCAAGACCTCCACCCTGAATTCGAGTCACAAGCTATTCAAAGGAACTGCAACAAAAGCATTCTTTTGTCATTGTTCACCCCCGTTACCAGTCTAGTGTGTGGTTACATAATGGTTTCGGCTACAGTGCTGTGTTAAATTTGTGAAGTGGGCTGCCTCACATTTCAAGTAGCAGGGAATCCTGCTTTCCGTGTTAATAGACAGATTGCGCCCTCTAAGGCGTGACCTACAGTGGATATCAAACATCAACAAGCGTAGCGTCTTCCCATAGCAAAGTGTGTTTGGAGTGTTGTTCATTGGAAAGGAAGCTTATTTTTTGGTATAATTCTCAGCACATCAATAGTTTGAGTAATTTACCAACTGTTAACTTTAGTTTCGGTAAATTACACTCACGCTGGGGGTCACTTCTTATTTGTGACTGTTTGATACCCTTTAAAGGTCATGTGACCAAGTGGGCGCAATTGGTCTATTCAAGCACCATTAACCCCTTCGCTACGGAGGAATGTTACTACCGCACCGTTGTGTGAGGATTAGGACATACCACGCATACAGTCTATTCACCATGCAGCTGCTGGTTCAATGGGGCCTGCTGCTGGACAAAGCCCTCCATTCAGGGCATACCACAGCCCGCCAGCAGTCGCGGTCAAAATAATCCCGCCGTGAAGGGGTTAATTTTACCCGTCCAAATTTTTCAACCATTTCATCTAAATGTTCTGATGTTTCATTTTTGTTGTTTTTTGGGGGGGCCAGGTGTTCTCTATGCAGGTTCTAGTGCCGGAGCGAGTCGTACAGGGGCGGCACAGCTCAGAAAGCCGATGAGAACAACCCCCACCAAAGGAGTGAGTAAATCTCTACTCCCCCCCCCCAGAAATTATGCTGAAGATCAGTGCCGAGCACCTCCAGCATCTTTTAATTGATTCCTGCTCCAACCATCGACTCCACTGACATTGATTCCAATCTGGTATTGATGAGCAATCCAATGCATCAAGACAGATCCAGAATCTAATTTTCGAAGGGCCAAAAAAACTTCTTTTGTTTTGGAGGGGGCCCCCAAGAATGTGGAAATTTCTTTTTGTAACCCTCTGTGGCCTCTCTCAGTAGTGAGGGTGACATTTGGGGCTTTTTACATGCTGGGGGGGGAGGGAAATGAGATAGACACTTAAAATTACCCCTTTGGGGCCAGAGCTAATTGGCGCGGCATACTGCATTAGCCTTGTCCATCCACTTGCGTATCCACCTGTTTGTCTGTCAGGCCGTCCAGGTGGTTCCAAGAGGTTTGCCCGTCACAACTTTTAAGGACTTGACGCACTAATTGACAATCATGATCTGTGGGTTGGCCTACTCTACGGTGTCCTCTAGAGGCCTATGGATTTTGGAAGTCATATAGGCCAAGGGTCAAGCTCAGTATAAGACTATTTTCCCAGAGGAGACAGTTTTTGTAATCACAAATGAAAGTCGTTCATTTAGGCGTAGACTTGGTCGGCCATTGTCTCGCATCATTCTTGTTTTTGTTTTGTTTTTTTCTAGATGACAGGTGGATCCATTCGCTTCAGCGCCCAACCGAGCCCCTTCATGTCCCCCCACCAGGAGCACTTTGCCAACTTGAACTCCATCAACGCCAGCCAGCGGGTCAGCTTCCAACCTCCCCTGCCCCGCCCACCAGTGATCTCGTCTTGGTAAAGCGATGAATATGTATGAAATACAGACTTGGCCATACCCACCTTTTAGTTCATTGAATGTAGATATTAAGGTCTGACCAGTATCTTGGGCAGCTGTTTTTTTATCATGGTAATTGGTTGATGATTATGCATACTTGCAACTTTGTGCCACTCCCACCTAGGAGTTCATCGCGGTAGTATGGTAATAATCATTGAATATGCAAATTTATGGGTCACACCCACTCATGTTTTCATTGTTAGTGTCATGAATATGCAATTTAAAGTATTTCAATTCCATCTTACCTCTCTTTCATTTGAGTATAGTGACGATAAATTTGACTAACTTCCAAAGTTACCACTGCCACCGTTGCGAACTGCCCGGTATTCTTGGCCAAATTACGCCAGGGTGCACAAAATTCCATCATGCTAATTGGGATCATGAATATGCATTGTAGTGACTGAATTTGTGTGAAACGCTTTTGTATGATGCCACCACCAAAGAGTGATATTCTGATTATGCAATTTGTCAAGCACCGTCAAGCCGGATCACGCACAGACTGATGACATGAAAATGCACTTTTTCCATCGGTCACGCACTCTGTACAACTAGTCTTCCAATTCTGTGTGTCCACCTTCAGGCATCTGTATTTGACGGACGGACGGAGTTTGGAGTAGATGAAATATGATCATTCCCAGCCAAACCAAAAACAAACAACGAACATTCCTTTGGTATTAAGTCTTTAGCTTTCTGATTGGAGACGACAGAGTAAAGTATTTTGAGACACGTCATCACTCATTCTTGTCTTGATGTTTCTCTCTCGTTATCTGAATCGAGTTTTGTTCAACTGTACGACGTGGAGTTTGTAGTGAATATATGTAGAGTCCAGCTCGGTAAATAGGAGTAGTCATAAGACAAGATCAAAGTTTTACAAGAGAAGGAAATTTTGATAATGGCTTTCCTAGCTCTGAATTTTCTTTCTTGTATTTTCTATGCCTTTTTTCTGTGGTGGAACAGGTCCAGATGCCCTATGCACCCATGTTCTGTAGGCCCTAGGCAGCAGTCTGTGAAGATCCTAGGTACCAGTGTTCCATAGGTCCTAGGCATCATTGTTCCATAGGTCCTAGGCACCAGTGTTCCATAGGCCGCAGGCACCAGTGTTCCATATGTCCTAGGCACCAGTATTCCATAGGTCCTAGGCACCAGTGTTCCATAGGTCCTAGGCACCAGTGTTCCATAGGTCCTAAGCACCAATAATTGTTCCATAGGCCCCAGGTATCAGTTTTCCAAAGGCCCCAGGCACCAGTGTCCCATTGGTCCTAGGCATTAGTGTTCCGTAGGTCCAAGGCATCAGTTTTCGGAAGGTCCTAGGCACCATTCCATAGGCCCCAGGCACCAGTGTCCCTACTCCACTCAAACCAATTGTGCCAATTTCACAGTGCTGGAGTCACATTTATTGTTGATGCAAAGCTGTACTAATAAGCTACCAGCTAGTTTGAAGCTTTCCAGATTTGAACTTTCAAAGAGAGAAGCACGGTGTTGTATTTTCAAAGGCCCTCAATTTCTTTTCTAGGCCCCAAATTTGTCAAAGTCTCTGGCCACAGTTCATGAACGTTTCAGAGGAACTTCCTAGCTCCTTAAAACTTGTTTCAAAACTAATGTGAATGTAGTTTTTTTCCGGTCCCCATTCACATTACAGTTTGTGAAATATCCACCTGCATTCAGTTTTTTCCCGACACCAAACAAAGATCCAGTTTCATCCAGAATTGTTTGACTGATACAGTTCTGGCAAATTTTGCCCCAGCAAGTCTTTGCCGGATTCGTGTTACCGACAGCCATTTTTGCTTCTAGAAGATGTGCCTGTTCAAGTTGTTACAAGCAAAGTTGACGCCCAGCCAACCCCCACCGCACATGTACTCTTTCCATAATCGGCACTCCAACAGTTGTAAATTTGTTGGCACCGAAAATGTTGCGGAGACAGAGAAGCGTCCACACAACTCGTTCCTAATTCACCCAGCCAAAGAAATTGGGGGGACGGGGTGGAGGCCTGCCTACAGGAGCATCCTCACTCCCACCTCTGAAAATCGAAACGCACAAAGAAAAAAAAAAATCCAGAGAGCTAAACCCAGAAAAAAAAAACCAAAGACCAGAAAAAATATAACAAGAAGAAAATCTTAATCTAGACCAATGGCTTCCCTGAACTTCTGGACGTAAGAAACAAAAGCCCTGGGGAAAAAAGGTTCATCACTGCGGCATTTCCAATGCCATCCTTGGACCAGAAACTAGAATTCTTTTGCAAGTGGCCCTCAACGGGACATGGAGTGTGACCAGGATTGTAATAGTTCACAGTCGTGTACATGTATGCGTTCATTTTGAACATGAGCAGGGTACTGTGCAAACAATAGAAGTGTCTTTCATGTTTATGATGTGGGAAATGTGGACTGTATTCTTGTGTCAGCCATCTTGAAATAGAAGTGAGGTTAACTTTTCATGTTCAGAACCTGAGAGTGAAAAAAAGGCAACAAAGGAAAATATTATTAGAAATGAATGCCAGTTAACAGTTATACAAACTTTTAGAATTTGTGATAAATTTTATCTCTTGTAAGCCACATTTAAAAATGCTGAAAGTGTACCCAAAAGAGTGTGGCACCACACCACGGAATAGATTACACTGAATTTGATAGATTCAGGGAACACAATCTAACATGACTCCCCCGTGCCAATAAAGGTGAAACACATCGATTGATTTATGACAAGCATGCACGACTAGGCACGTGCACAGCACCACGTGGAAAGGCAATCTCTCGAAGGGATAATTTTTCTTAATAGACATAACTTGTTGAAAATGCACTGGCTGAAATGTTGTCGTTTCTCAAGGGAAGACCGAGTAACTGTCTGATGATTCATTTACTGCCACGAAGTTGGCAAATGGGCGTCGCTTTTGTTTACATTATCGCTGTTTTTGGTAGCAGTGAACCGCCCGAACATGTTTCGTTTTCGTCGAAGGGCTCATTCGGTAAATGTTTCATTACGCAGACCGTTGATGTTTTGCGCGCGAAGGTCCTTTTTTCCCCAATGCAGAATTATCTCGCAACAAAATCGGTGATGAGGTTCGTGTTCCGTGTACAACAGCCCCAATTCCTGCGCCGTCAACAACCCTCGAAATTCCTCTTAATGTTTGGACTGACTGGAGCGAAGTCCATTCGACCAAGAGCGTGCTGGTAGAAAAGAAAATACTTTTTTTTTCTGTTGATCGTTACCACGGCGAGGCTGAGAATTGGAGAAACACACCCGACACATAGCCACCCGTTAGGTTCATGAACACGGGCCAAAGCTCACAGAACATTCGTGAGTGCAAACAAGATTTGAACTGTGTTTGCTCACAGAGCAAGGAAGCATACTCTATTCTTTGTCCACACATTCTCGGAAATATTCGCTGTATACTGTGGTGAAATTTACAATTAGATTTGATCTAATGAAACGTATTCTAGCATTGAATGTCGCTGTGCACTTACGGAAAAAAGGACATTCTTTGCTCCGTTGGTTCATGTTGATGAACATCAGTTGAAATGGCCACTTTGTATAGGCTTATAGAGGGTTTGCACGGATGCCATGTTGCAGGTCTGTGCTTTTGTTCCACATGGTATGCACAAAGGAGGTTTTCCCTTGGAACAAAAGAACTGCCCTGCAAGATGGCTACCGTGCAAAGCCTCCATACCTACAGTAAGTAAGTCCTGGTTTAATTCCCACAGGTACATGAATTGGGTTTTTTTTTTTGCATAGTGTGAATTCAGGAAGAAATTTACAGGCAAGTTTCCTTATATGAAGAGAGAATTTCGAGGAAAACTGTTCGATATCCAACAGTAACTCCGTATTCTTTGCACATTTTAGGCGCGTTATGTAAACATGCGTAAAGGCGCAATGGGGGACGAAACTTGCACGTTGGGGGGGGGACTTTTTTTATCTGTTATGGCCTCTTTTGAGGGTTGAGGAAACATTTGGAGGCTTTTTACATGCTCTTTGAAGGAAAGCTGGGGCACTTTTTCGGGGGCGTGGCCCCTTTGCCCCTGACTCGTCCATCCATGTTCCCTTGAGTGTGTGTGCCACAAAAATCAAGTCGAAACATGAATTTCACCGCAATCGTTTGTACACTGACTACCATCTCAAAATACTTCTTCTGCGGTTTTGCGAAATGAAGCAACACCCGTCAGAATGCCGTTGCAATTCTACTGGAGGGGAAAAAAGAGTTTATCATATTCTGTCCCTTTTTCACCGTCCAAACCTGAGCAGTTGAACAGGGAAACGTTAGCAGAGACAGTGTCCTGACGGAAGCCGTGACGCAGCCGAAGTCAGGAGGTTAGCGCGTGGAATGCAAACACAGGACGGCCCGATCTCGTCCATCGGGCCGCGGCCGCGCTGCGTGTTTATTTGCCTAGTTGGCTAGCGAGGCGAAGGGCCGCTTGATTTATGGACTCGCATTATGTGATATTTCGTGTATAGGCCTATTCCTTCGCCGGCTGGGAGAGGTAAAAAAAAAAAAGAAAAATGGCATTATGTTTAGCGTCCCTGCGTGCTTCCTTTTTGGAGGCCCAGAAAATTTTGTTTTTACCTCATGAAAAAAATTGAGATGAGAGAGTAAAATCGTGCTTCAAATTTACTAATATCTATCCACACTACTTGCAAATATATTCATTTTTTTTTCTTTTAAAACTCGAAATGTAAGGGGTTCATGAAAATAGAATGGGGGTTATTTTCGAAAATAAAAAGACAAAAGCCTCCCTTCCGTCTATAAAAGAAAGAGCACCAATAACGTAATTTTGTCTTAACGTGGCCCTACGAACTAGCTACGATCATCATGCAGCTATACCATTTCTGTGGGTTTTTTTATTCTATAAAAACATTGGGCCCGTAACCTAACACCAACGATAGAGCGTTTACATTATTTGCAAAAAAAAACCAACTAAAATTGCACATGCGGTTTCTAGGGTGTCATTATTGAACGAAAAAACATAAATATTTACCGACATTGGCATGGAAGAATTCAGAACTTTTGAATGGAGTCTGGATAGTATTTCAATGGAAAGGATCAGAAGAAAGTTTTCGAGGTGAAAATAAAATCTTGGAAAATTTGTAACTTAATTCCTTAGATTTATTATACAAAAAATTAACAGAAAATAAAACGTATATAATTATTGAGAAAGGAGAAACAATAATTCTTGTAAGAATTTTAATGCAAAACTAAATAACTCCAAGTTTATAAACATTGATGGACGCCGACTCCTCTGTCTTTCTTTTTAACCAAACTGTGTGAACTCTCTTTAAATTATAATTTTGAAGAGGGGATATAATGGTAATGACAGTCTTCCATTTGTACACAAAGAAATGGGCTCTATGTCTTCTTAAAACTATTTTTTAAGGTTAAAAACTTTTTTATGAGAGATTTCATGTCTTGAGCTGCGAAGTTTAGTAACCTTCCATTCGACTTTCAGCCACTCTGGCTAAATAACTTCAGTAAAGTCCTCTTAAGTATATCTTATCTTGTTACTTCACGCTTTTGTCTTTCCGAGAAATGTTTACCTATTGCTTTCGTTAGAGCTAGTTTTCTTTTCAGTCAGAGTTGAATCGTAAACTTCGAAGTAAGGGGGTTATTTCAACCCGCAGAAACCCAGGTCAACCGATAGATTTTGCACGAGCCTAAAAGCATAATGTAGTTTGCGCATGCGTTTAGAAATCGAATGCAAGTGCACTTCATTGTATTATTAAATTTCATCTGCGTATTGTTTACACTTAAATGCAACTTCAGAAGAAAACTGTTAGGCCAAGTATTTTTTGTTTTTGAAAAAAATAAGAACATTATACAGGGTAGTCAGAATAGTGCTCAGTCCGTCCGTGATAGAAGCTGTTAAAGCTATTTATAAAAAAGGAAAAGTCACTTACGTAAAGCAGTCGTAAAATTACAAGGTGAAGAAATTAGTAATGAGTTTAAAACAACGATCGTATGCCTTGTGATAAGTCTTGCAGGCAGTTCTAAGTAAGCGGTTTCAAAAGAAATAGTTATTTTAAAAAGCCAAAGAACATGGAGCAAATCGACACTTTTACATTGTCATCAGTTGTATAAATTTATTTTAGAAAAGAGCACATTTTGCCATCGTTGGAGTAGGAACGTCATTTGCGTTCTTTTCAACTATTTGAGATCACTGCGGATTGTTTTTTTAGTAAGGAAGTGACGCGTTCCCTACGTTCTAATTCTTCCCATGAGAGACAATTTGAAGTTTTATTACACAAATAATGAATGGTTACGAGTGCAGTGGTAAGCATATTTTCATGAGGTGACAGATTAAATGTTCGATTCCACGAGGCAAATCCGAGTAGAATGGAGCATTTCATCTGTCACTGAATGATATTATTCTTACCACTGCACGAATATGAAACACTGATTATTTTTCTTATGAATACCTGCATAAATCCTTTTCCGTTCGAAGAAATGAACGGTTGCTGCGTATCAATGTCCCACTATTCTGTGAAACAGATTCGCGTCTGAAGCGGAGCCCAGAGGTAGTTTTATGTAATTTTAGACTGGTTCCTGTCCGTAGTCAAGTGAAATGACGTTCTGTTCAACGGTACCCGTTGAATAGAACGAATAACTCAGTGGCCTGTGATCCACCAATCGAGGATTTATGCAGGTATAATATACAATCAAATTACGTCTTTACCATAGGCCTTTTATTGAAAATCTTAGCCATTTAAGGTAATAGTTTTTGGTTTGTTTTGTTCACTTATAACTTATTATTCACGTGTTTGCGGCCAATTAATATAGGCCTACGTATCACGAGCGATGATTATTTAATGAGTTTTTTTAAGTTTGACTTTCATATTTTCATATTTTCCTACCCCGAACTGTGACATTTTAAATCCCAGTGGGTATCTTACAGTGAGCGTTGCTAGTGTAGGATTCCAAAAGCCAAAGTCGAGTGTAGTTTTTGTCTTTCCTTCTTAAATTCATGTACATAAATTAACAGCGCTGTATATAAAGATTGCTGTTGGATAAATTATTTACACAAAGGACGGTGTAGATCTCAAGGCAGATGATGAAGTTTGCCATCATCCAAAACTCTGTGTTTGTTTTACAAGTTGTGATAATGGCGTGTTGTGGTTTTCTATATCAGATTTTTGCCCGAACTTTTAAAAAAAAGTCTAGCAATTGAACTCAGTCTTCTCGTGGCTTTGTAAACTTGTCTAAAAGTTACATATTAGCCTGCATGCGTGTCCAATTCAGTCCTAAACATCGATGTTGATCGATATTAAATACAGTTGAAGCAACATCATAAACATCGTGGATACCGCATTTCAAGTTGTAATCGTGGTCCGTCGCGAGCCGATCACAAGTCCAGTTAATTACAGTCGCACGAAACCAAGGGACTCTGATCACAGATCGTCTATAGGGTACAGAGACTGAGCGCTTTGTGACTGACAAATGGACTTGTAGAGACAGGTTACGACCCTTTACCGTAGAGTGAAGCGTGCACTTTTTTTCACGGAACCTTTTATCCAAAAACAAAATGAGACCTTCGCCTGTTGTTTCATGTGTGACTGTGTTTGAAACCACATCGGGTATTTTGTGTCGTATTTATCATTGCGAATTGTTTGAATGTTAACTTTATGAACATGTAAGCTAATTCAAGGAATGGTGCTTTGCGTCTGTTTTGACAAAGAGGTTTTTGTTCTTGGGGGTCAATAGCCTCGTAACCAGTCATGACGTCATACACTGCTTGCCGCATTGCATTGTGGGAACCTAGTACGGCTATTTGGAAACTAAATAATTCTGAGGCCTATAATCAACAGCGATCTGATGTTTCCTTGGCAATTTTTGCATTGATAGGAGTTTACCACAGTCGTCAGATCGTTGGGAAATGCAGAAAATAGTTGCTTTGTGCATTACACACATAACAGCCATCACAAACCGCACTGAACGGGGCCGTTTTCCAATACTCAACTTCGGCTCCGTCTCAGGCTTCAACTGGTTTCTTTTTTACTAGCTGACTTTGAAGCTGTAAGCGCAGTAATCAGTCTAATAGTGCCACAGAACATCAAACAAGATGCAAGAAAGCCATAAATTACAGGAATCCAATGTAACTTAAACGCTTCAGGCTCACAATCGGGGAACCTGGAACCCATCGACTGCAAGTAGGTAAGTCTTTGCAATGTTGTACAATCTCGTTTTCACGAAAGCACAGGGAGTGAAAACAAACGTACATGAACAAGGAGACCTAGGTACGATATCGCCAGACGTGAAAGGTCGTCAATGAAATTCGTTTTTCACTCATCTCCAGGTGACTTTTTCTAAATATGTTACTTGAGGAAGACGAAGGTAAAATTCCAACATGAGTGTTTCATGGGGTGGTTTCAGTTAGGAATTATTCTTCCAAAAATTATCGACCGTGGTAGGACGGCCCGATGTAAAATCTCCATATTACTTTTTATGAGGACCGTGCGAGGGTTCCGGAAGCTCGCTGCGTGACCTTTTACTTTCAGGCTCTATATATGCCCATCCAGTTCACGCTGGTTTGCAAGGCAAACATTGCACCTTAGAAGGTGCATGATTTGTTTACACAAAGATAAATCCTGTCACGTTTTAGCCGCTATGGATGTTTGTATCGGCCCTTGTTTATCACCTGAAGGCATTATACTCACATAGTTTGTATTTTATTTTATTTACATGCGGTGTGTAATACGGAAAGCAAAACACAGAAGTTGGACACGATAGCACAATAAAAAGGAAACGAAACGGATTTTTTTTAATCTGGTGTGTCAATTTGTAATTTATTGCTCTCTGTCACGTGGGGAACGATTCAATCCCTAATGGACAATTTCTTTACACTACAGAGTGAGCAAATATAGCAGCACATATATTGTTCCGTGGAGCGTGTTTGTACAGTAACAACACCAAGGACTACCACGTGACTGCTTTCTCGAGATCGGCCACCATTACTGTTCGTAAACCTTTGGGATAGGAAATCGTGCGTCGTACGATTTGACGATGGGTCCTGTTTTCACCTGAATAATAACTGTGGTTTCTTTGTCAAATGCACAATGGTCACCACTGCGGTAGTAAAGTCATTTGAAGTGAGGTATGGGACGGAAAGAAACCCTCCCCCGCCTTTGTGTTGGTCATTGTTTGATCGGAATCTTAGGAATTCTTTACAGACTTCTAGAGGGGGGACGTGTTAGGAAACAATAGTCTAGAGTGTGTCTAGGGATTGGACAGGTAAGGGGGGTACCCCTCCGTCCCATATCTTGCCTGGTATAAGTAAAGTATGGTTGTTATCGTATGGCCCAGTAGTTGGTGTAAGCCCGAATGTTTTTTTCTCTCATGCTCTTTTCCATTTATAAAGGACTGCCTGTGTAATGTAAACACTCGGGGTTAGCAGGTTAGCGTCGCGGTTCTTTCCTCGCTTTGAACCAATGAGGCCTGGGTTCGAGTCCCGTCTAAGTTGGCCCAGGCTTTAAGTGCATTTGGTTTCCAGTCCATACTCGCTGTCGCAGGTTTTTTCCTGCCTCTGAAACTGGACCTTCTTCCTGACTCCGTAATGTGATGCTGATGAATAAAGGTTATTAATAAACG